ACTATTTCAATGACCGACCCACCGACCTTTTTCATCTCTTTCATCCATTCCATTGGCTATTTCAATGACCGACCCACCGACCTTTTCCATCTCTTATTGCTCATTCCATCTCATTCTCAATCATCCTTTCTCAATCAACCTTTCTCAATCAATTATGCAGGGGACCCCATTGCCTATTTCAAAAGGAATGACCCTTGTCAGAGGTCATTCCCGAACAACCTGGTTAGGGTCGTCCTTTTCCATTCTCAAGTCGAACAGCCTGGTTAGGGCCATTCCTTTCCATTTTCAAGTCGAACAGCCTGGTTAGGGCCATTCCTTTCCATTCTCAAGTCGAACAGCCTGGTTAGGGTCATTCCTTTCCATTCTCAATGTTAGTGCCCGAGGGGGTGGGCCTCGAGGTCACAGATCCCATTTCTGTCTTGGAGGTTAGAAGGTGGTCATCTCATCTCAATTTTTAGCGTGTTGTTCCCTTTCTTCCATTTCTCACAGTAATGTACTATCCATGCGTACATCCGACTTAGCGTCTAGTACTCGAGTTGGGGCTCGCGACCCCAAGCAGCAATAGCCCACCCGGTCGTTCAACCATAACAAAAGACAGAGGCGCCCCCTCTTATTTTCACTCGTTCTGATTACTCAGACCTCGACTCTTCTCAGATTCCTTCATGACTTAGTTGGATTAGGCTCTTAGGGAAGGAGTGTTCTTCACGCCCCTTATCCCATAAGTTCCCTAACCTCTGTTGTACTCGACCAACATTCAATGCTTCGTTTGCTCGTCAATCTTTACTCAAAGTTTCTTTTCTCAAAAGCACAATCCTCATCTCATCCAAAATTCACAATACATGCTTCCCAACTGATCTCATCCCATGCCCCATGTCATTGTCTTAGGTATCCTTTTTTAAAGGTAGCTCATCCAGAAAGTAGTCTCAAAATGTTATCTTCTAACTTATCGTGACACAGTCTTAGCTGGCCTTCTCATCACTCATCCTTAGCAAGCTTACTCATACTATACACGCTCTCGTCGCTCCCATGTCTAGCAAAAAAAAAAAAAAGCAGGAATCCTATTCAATGCTTAATCGACATCTAGTTCTTATTGCTGCCTTGTGCCTCAGCTTGCCCGATCCCTTGTCCACCTTGTTCCTTGGCAGACTTTCTAACCCCCAAGCCGTAGGTCTCAATTTCTCTCCTTTTTCTTGCAATCTCATGTAATTCCGCCTCACTGAAAAAGTCCAACGGCGTGGCTTCCACCCCTGCCTTTGCGAGTTTCCGGGTCTTGATGATCCACTCGTGCCTGATCACATTGGTCCATTGCTGAAACCAATGACTGGGCGTTGACCCAAACTTATCCTCCCATTTGAAGGCCTCATCACGCGGCTGGTGCATTGGAGGCCGCCTCTCTTCCCTAGGTCTCGAGATCTCATCTTTTTCATCCCCGCTGCTGATTTCTATGATCTCTTGTACATCCTCCTCCTCGTCTTCCTCGTCTTCCATCTGTATAGGGCTATACCCTGCCGTTAGGTTCTTTGGATCGTAGGTATAAAGAATCTTTGTCCTTGTCACATACCCCTCACAACTACCGTGGCTGCTTCGTCCTTCAAGCGGGCTTTCTCTTCTCTCCTCCCCATCCTCATGCTCGTCGTGCATGTCCTGTCCCCCCTCGCTTTCCCCATGCCAAGTCTCACGTCGTTCGCCCCTGTTGGCTCCTTCCTCGTCACAGGTGAGCCTTATCTCCCATATCTGCATTGTCCCCTTCTTCCACATTTGCCTTTTCCTTCTCGCCCTCACTGTCAGATGAGATTTCTATACCTTCTCCCTTGCGGAGGGGCGAGGGTCTTCTACATATGCACTTTTCTCCACCCCTGCCTACCACTGGCCCGCCCATGAGCCCTATGTACAACTTTCTCTTCGTTGTCCTCCTCCCTTGGCTTGGTCCTGCTTCTTCCCCTCCGGTAAGCCTGTTGATTGCCCCGCTGTCGTTCTCGTTGCCGAATTTCATTTTTGCTTTTTCTCGTTTTTCTTCTAAGTCCTGTATAACAAAACAACACCCGCAATGCCCCTCATACACCCGTTCCCCCCGTCCAATAGGCAACTCCCCTTTCCACAGAATGCTCCCAGTATCCTTCGCATCACCCCTTTTATACATTTCCCTCCCTTATGCAAATGCACCGTTTGTGAAGGTCCCATTATTTCCCCGTCAAAAACTATGATACAATGCCTCAACAATCCTTCCCGTCGTCGCACAAGCCCGTTACCGCAAATTCCCAAGTCATCCTGCCTTTCAACCTCAGTCAGTCCAACCCATTGTCCCAGCCCCAGAAAAAAAAAATGATAGTTCCATGAGCGCAGTCAGTGATCGAACCATAGCGTGGTCATGGTCGTTGTCAGTCCTTAGCTTGTGGCCCCTCAGTTTCCTTATCCTCCGCCTCCTGATGCCACTGTTCCACTGGGTCCCGACTTAGAAACCTGACCAATCGTTGCCCTGGGAAGGGCCCTTTCAATCCAGTTTCATCCAAATCTTCAAGTTCGAAGTTGTTCAGTCCCAACCGCTTGGCGACCTAGTAGGGGCCTTTGAACCTCCTTCCCAGCTGTCCAGACCAAGTACTTTCTAGTACCGAGTTCCTTAGCAATACTGTCTCCCCCACCTGAAGTGGCTCCTTTCTAACATTCTTAATCAGGTCCCACCTTGCTTTATCCCTCATTTTGCTGTCCAGTACCCGACTGGCGATGTCCTCCATGACTTCTTCGTTCTTAAGGACTTGTTGGCACCTTGCCTCGATTAACTCTTCCGCGGTCATTTGCGGATCATCATCTAACCTGTTCTAGGTAAGTACCAAGGCTTCCACGGGAAAGTCGATATCTCTTCCATACCAAAGTTCTGTCGGGATACATCCTGTTGTCCTCTTAGGGGTCATGTTCTCTGTAAAGACAGCCTGCTTAAGATACGTAGGCCAGCTCCCCAGACGGTCCGCTACGAGCTTCACAATCGTGTTCTTCAAGGTTCGGTGCACTCTTTCCACAGGTGCATTGACCTCAGGGTGATACAGCTCGATGAGTTTGATCGACACGCAGAGTCTCTTAAGCATCCTCAATACTTCTTGGTTCACAAACTCCGTCTCATTGTCTGCTATAAACCTCCTGACGAAAGGATGCCTCAAGTAGAAGTCTTCTATCCAGCCCGCCACACTTCTCCCTGTCTTTTTCTTGAGAGCGACCGCCTCCACGAACCCACTCAAGTTGTCTCGCACATCTAGAATATACCTGTACCCATCTGTTGATACAGGCATGACCGCAAGGTCAAGGTGGACCAGATGTCTCGGCCCTAGCACCCGCGTAGGTCTAAGCGGCTCAAAGACACATGTCGAGCTTCGTTCTTGGCAGATAAGGCATGTCTGGCAGTATATGGCGACCATGCTTGCCATGCTTGGCCAATAATAAAGTGACGCTATTTTTGCAAGAGTTCCTTTCGACGACGGATGTCCTCCTGCTAATCCGTCGTGCATTGCTTGGATAACATCCAACTGCCTAGATCTTCCGCACACAATTCTTCTAGGCATAGCACCTTCTTCTCTTCAGAACAGATGGCCGCCCCTTAGGACGTACCTCTCGGCCTCCTCCCTTGCTTTAGCGCTGACTTCCGTGGGTTGCTTGTTTCCTACCAGCAACAACCCGATCTCTCGAAAGATCCCTTCGTATATATGGGCATAGAAAAACTTCTTCCCTTCGTGGTCCTCATCCTTTCTCTCCTGCATCTGGTTTACCATCCATTGCAACTCTTTCTTTTCCCAAGATTTCACGAAGCTCATCACGACTTCCCGGCCTCCCTCAAGCGCCATTGCTATTAGCTCCTCCTTCAGTCCTACTATTGCTCTCCATGAATGTCTCTCCTCTTTACGACCTCGAGTGGTGACGGGTCCTTTCCTAAGTTCGGCTACTATGGCAGGCGCCCCCTTCTCCAAAGTCCGGATCAACAGTTCTCCCGACGCGCATTCTTCGCCCATCATTTCGTTGTCCACCGCAAGAGTTCCTCCCTCGAATTCAAGGAACGCGCCTATGGGCTCCGCATCCTCCACCCCTTCGGGAGTGATGCAGACCCGACTCAGCCCATCCGCCTTGTTTCTAATTCCAGCAATCCGTTCGATTTTGTAATCGAACTGCCAGATAAATCCTACCCATCTTCCCACCGTCGGATCTATAGGCCTGTAGTTTTTTAAGGTCCCTGCGGCATTCGTCGGGTCGATCCTTAAGATGAATCGCCTCCCAAATAGGTAGGCCTGGAAGGTCTTGAGGCAATGTAAGATGGCTAAGACCTCCTTTTTGAACTGCGAGTACCGTCGTTCTGTGGAGTTCAAGGTTCTACTTTCGAACCTAATCGGTCTCTCTCTCCCTTCCTCATCCCGTTGAATCAACACGCCTCCTACGACCAAGGGTCCTCCATCCGTTTCTAGGATGAATGGTCGTCCCACTTCGTCATTAAAACAAGGCGCTTACTAGGCGACTTGCTCAGATGTCAACATGTCCTTAAGGGTTTGGACGACTCCTTCTCGCTCCTCCGTCCAATCCATGGTTCCCTCTTCTCTGATCATGGCCCGGATAGGTTCGGCAATGTTGGCCAAATTCTTAATGAAGATCCTCCAAAATCCGACCACGCCTAGGAACGCTCTTACCTCCGTTGTCGTGCGCAGGGGTGTTGACCATTGCGATATCTTGTCTGTCTTCGCCGGATCCGGCTTCCTACCGTACGCGCCACAGCGAAATCCCAATATGGTTACTTCCGGTACTGCTAGAATACTCTTTGGTCCACTAGCCGTGATATTGTATACTAGGAATCGACGGAGTAAGTCCTTGATGTCTTGTAGATGGTCCCACACAAACCTTCGAATTCCCGGCTGGACTTCCGTCTCGTCCTTTCCCTGCGCGCCTTTGATCGGATTATCGTTGATGTAGGGTTCGCACTTCTCTGGAAACATATCTCCGGCTACGGCGAGCATCCTCCTTGGCGCCTCGGCTACCGCGTTCGTAAAGCCCATAGGGGTCACCTGCATTTGCAACTGGCCTACGGGGGTATGCATTGCGGTGTACGGCCTATCCCTGACATCCAATGGAAGCTGGTTGTACCCTGAGTACAGATCGATCAGGGAGTAAATGCTCCGGGCGGCGTGCGACTCTACTAATAAATCAGCCTGAGGCAGCGAGCCAGCATCCCGGATGGTTACCGCATTCAACTTCTGTAGATCCTGAATCCATCTTAGTGTTTTGTTGGGCTTCCGAAAGACGAACCATCGGTTTGCGTATGGCGACACCTTAGGTTCCGCGACGAAGGAGTCCATCTTTGCTCGAAGAAGGTCTGTCACTTCCCCTGCTATCCCAAATTCATAGGACGGACCCTTGTCATTCCAACACTCATGTTCTACCGTGTGGATTCTGACCGGAGGAATCAGCTTCGCGTCCAGTCGCCCATGTTGGAGATCACTAAAGGCAAATGCCAGGTGAAACTCTAGGGAGGTCCTTTTGATCAGGCGGTTTTCCTTTTCCGTTAGGAATCCATCTACCCCTATCTTCATCGTATCCGCTACCTCATCTGGTATTCGATGCCCTTCCGTCGCTCTTCTCTCTTGGATCACTTGAAGGACTTCCTCTTCCTTCTCCATAGTCTCTTCCTTTGATGTCTCTAGCAGGATCGAGACCGGTTTTGCTTTCTTTCCTACCGGCTTGTACTTTCGAACACTTCCTTCTGGGATCTTTCTCCTAAAAAATGAACGGTCAGGATTGCTCTTGTCGCCTCTGCGATTCGTGGTTGAATACTAACTGATTTCCCATTCAGACAATATCCCTTTTGCACCTCTCCTTCGAATTTGGCCAAGGCTGCTGAGTCACTCCTACCTTGTGGTATCTGAGGGCCTTGATAAGTTGTAACAAATGCATAATCTCGAGCGCGTCTTCCCGCACGTCCATGCATACTTTTTTCCGTTTGGACAGGCTGACACCGAGTTCGACTTCTGACTCCTTTTCTGCTACCATAACACCTAAGACATCGTCCTCCTGCCTCCTCTTCTTCTGGGGCAGGCCCATCTTGATTCATTCCTTCTTGTTTAATGTCTCCTCAATCATAATTTATACCCGTTCTCTCATGTCCTCTATCCGCGCGAAAGCCCCTTTTCGTGCGCTATCCTCGAACGACGGCGACCACGTTGCTAACTTCCCCTTCGGAGGGTCTCCTCCCGTCTCGAGGAGTCGGAGGAGCTCACCCCGGCCGGTCACTGGGTATATCTACCATGTACGTGCCATCGTGCAAGTGCATGCCTATCATTTCTACGTTTGTGCACCATGGCCTCCCGAGGATAATGTTGTGATCCATTTCCTCCATTACGGTCATTCGCTGAAACGACCAGATTGACTCCTTGATTCCCGCATTGACTGCACATTTCGTGACATACCCTGCGAACGGAATTTCCCCACCGGCTCCCCGTATGCTCCCCGTTACTTCCTTATTTACAGTACAGCCTGTGATTGTTGCGAAATCTTTCCTTATGAGAGTGATTTTTGCTCCCCCGTCTACTAATACATCGGTATGACGAGTTCCGATATGAATCTTCAATTTTCCTACGGGTAGCGCATGGAAACTGAGCTTTGTCCCAGGAGGTGCCCTCGTGACCTCACCACCTTCTCGGTCTGGCAGGCTCAAACGGATGTCTGCAAAAGCTTTCTCAAGATCCTCTAAATCCCCACGACTCCTCTGAAGGTTAGCGACCTCTTGCGGGGCTTCCTCCTCCCTTTCTTTTTCCGGTGCTTCGGGGTTTTCGTCTATCTCTACTCGCCGCCGAGTCAACAGTTGTCTAAGCCCTTCAAGCAACCTAGGGCTAGCCTGCAGCATGGTCTGAAACGACACCGACACCATGGTTCTTAGTAACTTGCTAAGGGTATCGTCGATCTCGGGTAAGGTTAAGATCGGGATTTGATACCGAAACTTCTTCTTGGCAGCGGTAACCTTGTGTGCAGGCTCCTCTTCCCTAAGCTTCCCATAGACTTTCTCTGGTTCCCGGCCTCAGGCTCTGCCTGGGGTACGGAGCTTCCAGCAACCTCCTCCATCACGGTGTTACGGATAATCTTTCTTCTGGCCGTCCCTAGCCGAGTAGTCGCGTTTACTCTATCACGTCTGTCGTTTTCCAAAATGAAGTTGACCTGCGGCCCGCGGCCAGAGTGTGTCCATGGATTTCATGGATACCCTTGTGACCAGCAGGTCAGGAAAGAGACACATCTTTGTCATAGTGGACCATTTTACCACGTACGCCACACTGATCGCTATGCCTGAAACTGTTAAAACTGACTTCGTCATCAGACTTTTCATAGATAACTGGGATAGAGACTTCGGTCTACCTACGTCTATTGTTAGTGAGAGGGATGTCAGATTCATGAGCGAACTGTGGCAGCCTACTGCTGAACAAATGGGCACAAAACTCCAAATGACTTCAGGAAATCATCTTCAGTCAAATGGGCAAGCAGAACAAATGAACCGAGTAGTACAAC